GGACCAATCATGCCAAAGGCCCGGAGAACGTTCCAGACAGGATGAAGGCCCGGTGAGGCAGTCAAGACATGTTGAAGGTTCTGTATGCATGTTGTTGTTGTGATATTTATGATTATGTATTGTGGTGATATTTTGGGGGAAACTCAGTAAGCTTTGGGCTTACAGTTTGGATTATGTTTTAGGAACCTTAGAAGATCGCAGGAAGGCGAAAGCGTGATCGTGTACCTCCTCATGTTTTTGTTTTACGATTTTGGGATTTCTCTGATGTGAAACTTATTTTTAAAACAATTTGCAAACAATATTGGTTTTGGGTTTGTTTAAAAAGTTTAAAATTTTCAAGAATTTAATGAATGTTACATTCCGACTCCTTTTCCTCCTACTCGTTCTCCCGGAATACAAGGAAACAATTGATTATTGAATGGTTTTAGCATCATGTAAGAATTCCAATATGCATATGCAAACTTTCGTGAATCGTTACAAAAATCAAATTAAAGAAATAGCAACGCACTTTCATGTATTTGTTTTTCATAGCATCCTACTTTCACTTCATTCATTTATACTTTTGCAACATTGTAATTTGAATTATTTTCTTATTAAGGCATTGAACTTGTAAAAAGGTTCAACCTATTAAATAGTAACCAAGTTTTATGTGTTCCACCTAGGTACTTTGAACTACTTTTTAGGTTGTTTAACCACTTAACTCTAAATTTTTTAACAAACTTATGAAAAAAATTATTTATTTGTTTCATTCTTTAAAAATAATAATAAATAAATAAATTTTTAAAAAATTGTAACATGTTTTACCAGGTTGTATTAAGTTGAATGGGTATTGGGACGGACATAGGATTTTAAAGTAGGATGTCACTGGAAATTTGAGTAGTTCACGATAATAGAAAAAAAAATTCGAAAGTTTTCGAATTTTGCACCGCGTCCGGAAAAACCAAACATTATCGGTGCCACTACAGGTACCATATTAAAACCACCCCGTATATATATATATATATATATATATATATATATATATATATATATATATATATATATATACATATTTACCATTTCTTGAATTTTAAGAGGTACTATTTTTATTACATCATGTACAATCTTCTTAAGCTGTTATCTCATCAATGCTACTTATCTACGACTTAAATAGTTGAAAGTTGAAACACGCTAATGTCGTTTGAATTGTCAAACCTCCTCCACTGTGGCAAACAACTCACCGCCATCGCAAGAAATCTATCATCTATCTTTCCATCTCTCTCAATCTTGAAACCTTAAACACTACCAATATCCCACCGTTGCACAATCCTCACATCCACTACAACACTACACAGCGTCGTGCTTGATTGTCGACCTTCATTTACCGCAATCACCGACTTTTTGCTCCAAGATCTGGATTATTTGCATCTGATTAATTGGATCAAAGTTCAAGCAATGAAAAATCCTAAATTCATTTCCTCCATCAGCCACCACTCTTGAAGTATTCAAACCACCAAATCCACGTTAGAACAAAATGAATCTCGACTCTTTATCCTACCTTCTAATTTTATTTCCCAAATCAAAAATTTTGTTTCTATTGCTTAAAATTCCGGTGAGATTTTTATAATTGTTGATTTTATTGATTGCTAACTTTGTCGAGGTCTTAAGCGGAATTTTAGAAGGAAGATGAAGTTGATGGTAAAAAAAATGCTCAGATATAGGCATCTTTTTATGATTTCCAGGAAAAAATCTCTGGTTTTATCTTTATACTCCTCTTTCCCTGCTAAAATATTGTGATTTTTTACTCATAATCTCAAGATTTGAGTTTTTTTTATGACTTTAAGGAACATTTTCTTTTGGGTTATATAACTTGGATCCACCATAACAACCTCCGTGAATGGTTGTATAATCACAGAGATGAAGGTGGAAGAGATGTTATGAAATCAAGCGTTCATCGGAAGCTTATAATTGGTTCACATTAGAAAACATAACATTTACCAAATATTATTTAACTATTCTTAAGGTCTTATCAAATAAATAGTGTTGTATGGTATGGGTTTGAAAAGGGAAGGTGATTTGTAGGCATGATAGTCTTCTCTTCCCCCCACCTAATACCTCTCATCTGATTTCAGATTTAAAATTTGATATCAAGAAATCTACTCCCTTCTCTCTCCATCAACATATAGACCCTCAACCAGCAACATATCACAAGTGTATCACCTTCAACCACCTACCCATCAGGCCATTACTTTGAACCACCATTGCATGTTCATCTTCACATCTACATCCTTGCAATCAACATTAGACTTTGGGGTCCATAAGAGGAGTAGGAAAGATGGTGGTTGAAATCGAGCTCCAATATAGCAAGACAAAGGCTATGTATGATACAGTATTCTAAAACCACAATTTTACCCTCAACGACCTAAATAAACATAGGCGTCCCTTTTCTCCATATTGACCCCATACCACAAAACCAACATCAACACTTCCTCTGATCATCCATCCATCGGCTCCACCTTTCATGATCGTCCTTCCACCAACGCTGATGCGTGTATGGATCACTCTAAGCGCAACTAACATGAATCTAGACTTCTAACACATCAACTGATACTAATATTGGGATTGACACCATAAATAGTATCAAATGGGTTTGAAAATGCAGCGGAATAAACAACAATGGATTCGACAAGAACAAAATAAAGAAAAAGGGATAGATTTGAATATCAAACTAGACCTATACCTTGAAATTCTATGAAAACAAGTTAAGACCTATTAACTTGAGTTCAAGATCAATATTAAGAGGCGCGTCCTAATAAGGATCAAATTTTGAATTGTCACAACAACTCGGAATGAACAACACTTCAATTTTCAATATATTCAAAAACATAATTCTCTTCTTACAAATGAAAGGAAATGGCTATATATAGCCTTACAAGATAACGGTTAAAAACTCAAAAGACACTCTAATAACTATGCCAACTAAAGGCTTATTAAATGCTGAAATAAACACACCACTAATGACCACCAATGATTCATTTGTAACTCCCACTTCACTAATGACCACTAATGATTTATTTTTAACTCCCACTCCGTAACTCCATCACATTAATGATTTATCTGTAACTCCCACTCTATAACTCCATCACACTTAACCATCTCCATTGTAACTCCCATGCATTAATCCACATCCATATCAACTTCTCATGTTACCATGCACACAAATTTTGCTACATCACATGCCATGTGGCCAGTACCAATTTATCGTTGTTATAGCTCACATCATAATCAATAGATGAGCCTATTGCGATCCAAATTGGGTTGGAACTTGAAGATTGGGTAATGCAATCCAAATTCGTATCATCCCTTCCCACTTCAAAAGGAATTGACCTCAATTCTGCAAGTTCATCATCTTCAAGATATGATGAAAAGAAACCGATTTTCCTCGGTATCGTATACCAGAAGTAACTCAAATGCTTAGAGTCACGGTCTAAAACATTCATCTTGGAAACTCCATGCAAATACACCACCTTTAAAAACATTTTGGGCCAAAGGAAATTCCCTTTTAACACTTCCAAAGTCTTGATCATCCCAAAATGACCAGTTAAACCATAACCATATGCTTCTCGTACTAGCCATTCATGAATATGACACCTTGGAACAAAAATATGCTTCCCATTGAAGAGAAAGCTATTTTGCAATAGAAACTCTTTGGCACCTTTAGCAAATTGTTCACGATCAATGAAATTACCATCACCATAGTAGTTCTCAGTTTTCATAGGAGTACTGAAGTCTTGTTTGTTTCTAATTGACATCCTTGCTTTGTAAACCATGCCCTTCGAATTCCATTCCCCTTTTGAAACAACAAGGTCTAAACTCTTCTCCTGCATCTCATATAATCTTTGAGATCTAGGGGCTTCAAACAATTGCTTAAACTTCACCAAATATTGTTCCCTGCTTTTGTGATACACCAAGATTTCATCAAGGTGTATCATGAACTTGAAAAGATAGAAAAGATTTGGCCATATCAACATAGGAGCAACTATCACACATTTCTTCTTCATTCCCAACAACATCTTAACAGACCGATGATAATGATAACGAAGTCCTTCCGTTCGCAATGATGCAATTGTTTTAGTCGCAATGATGTAACTTTTCCAATCACAAAGACGTGACTAATCGCAATGATAATGACTTCCTTCTATTTGAAATAGTGTTTCTCCTTGTAACAAACCAAAAAAATGTTGGCTTTCCTCCTTCACCAATTTGTCTCGCCTCCATTTACAAACATTCTTCTTCGAACAGCTTGAAGAACTTGCTGAATTTATTCCTAACCACACTCTCCATTTATGGAACAAAAACCATTTTTGCAACTTCTCATGAAAAAGATAAGGACCCTGGAAATTAACTTTGTAAAAATTTAAAAGGTTAACATCGGTCCTTTGAAAGAATGAATCATGCTTTCTATTTGTGGATTGGTGAATAGCACGTCCCAACATTGAGGCTTCCCAACTTAAGGTACACCACAAAAATAAGAATCCAAACATTATGGACCCCTTCCCATGTGAATACTTGGGACTTGACTCTTCATGTTGATTCACTCCTTTTTTGCTTTTTGGAAGATGGTTTGTAACAGAATAGACACCATCCTTCTCCGTTCTTTCATCACCAACTTCACCCCATGTCTCCTTATGTTCTTCAATAACAAATGAAGAACCAATAACAACATCGGTTTTCTGTAGCCAATAAAAAAGTTTAGATTCGCCACACGAACCAACTTTTCGTGTTTGATCGCAACCACCAAGAATATTTCTTTGTGAAACCTCCCCCATATTGTCTTCTATAGGGTACAACATTTTGTCATCATCCAATAATAACTGGCCTTGTAGTCTTTGAATCATCAACAAAACCTCACCATCTCCAATCACGCAAAACTTTTTATCAAAAGTAATAGTGAAAAACGACAAAATAACAACAGTAACACAAGGGTTCACACAAACGTCACCCTTCGTCTCCTCTGGTGGTCAATCTGTTGGAGTCACATCCTGACACACCATGGGTAAATCAACATTTGGGTCTTCTTGATGCGAAACCTCCATCACTTTTGCATCCTCTTGCACCACAATCACATCTTCGCATTTAATATGCTCCACTTTCATTTCACTCTTCAATATAGTCGAATGTTTCTGGACTTGTTTGTCATCTATGGGATACACTGTTGTAGATGTGATGGACTCTTGGAATTTCTTTCTTGGTTCAACCAAAATTACCTCCTTCTCAAAAAATTTGTTCGCATCAACAAAATTATTTTCTTCCATGATTTCCTCCACAGTTTCAAGAATTTCAACCTTGGAGTTATCTCCTTCTTCAACTTCTTCAATGAATTCATCCACCGCTTCAGTATTATCATCTATAATCATGAAATTCGTTTCTTCAATAATTACTTCAGCAATTTTGTCTTCAACAACGAAATTAACTTCTTCCACCTTGACTTCTTCCACCCTGACATCAACAACATTAACTTGGTCATCAAAGGTTTGTGAAGTTTCAAATACTATAATTGTGTCAACAGCAGAGGCTTTGTACTCTTCTTCTTCCTCTTTGATCGTAACTGCCTTCGTAAATATCTCCACCCTTCTTTTGAAATTAACAGTCTCCAAGGTCATTGGCGCATACCTCTCTCGGAGTTTTCGTTTCAGAGATTCCCAAGAAGAAAGCTTTCCCTTTCCTTCACGGGTTCTTTTTGCCTTCAACTTTTCATACCATAATTCAACTTCTCCTCTCAATCTTAGAATGGCATATTTGCAACTCCATTCATCGTCCACACATTTGAACTGAAAAACTCTTTCCATCTCCTTCTCCCAATCCAAATATTTTTCTGGATTGAATCCTCCAATGAATTTAGGCAATTCATGTATCTTTAACTCCCCCACATTCCTTGGCTACTCACGCCTAGGTTTCCTTCGCTTTGATTCTTTGGATACATACTGCATAGCTTCAAGAAGAACACAAAGAAAATTCGGATCATCACAATCCATTATAACTGAATTCGTGATAACACTTGGCATAATTTTATTTCTTCTTCAGTAACAGCAACAACAGATTTTGCCAAGAACTTAACAACAGCAAATCAGCAACAGTCGTAGGAACCTCTTTTTTTTTTACTAAACAAGAACTCAACAACACCCAATCAGAACTGGGCTCTGATACCACTTATGATGCGTGTATGGATCACTCCAAGCGCAACTAACACGAATCTAGACTTCTAACACATGAACTGATACTAATATTGGGATTGACACCATAAATAGTATCAAATGGGTTTGAAAATGCAGCGGAATAAACAACAATGGATTTGACAAGAACAAAATAAAGAAAAAGGGATAGATTTGAATATCAAACTAGACCTATACCTTGAAATTCTATGAAAACAAGTTAAGACCTATTAACTTGAGTTCAAGATCAATATTAAGAGGCGCGTCCTAATAAGGATCAAATTTTGAATTGTCACAACAACTCGGAATGAACAACACTTCAATTTTCAATATATTCAAAAACATAATTCTCTTCTTACAAATGAAAGGAAATGGCTATATATAGCCTTACAAGATAACGGTTAAAAACTCAAAAGACACTCTAATAAGTATGCCAACTAAAAGCTTATTAAATGCTGAAATAAACACACCACTAATGACCACTAATGATTCATTTGTAACTCCCACTTCACTAATGACCACTAATGATTTATTTTTAACTCCCACTCCATAACTCCATCACATTAATGATTTATCTGTAACTCTCACTCTATAACTCCATCACACTTAACCATCTCCATTGTAACTCCCATGCATTAATCCACATCCATATCAGCTTCTCATGTTACCATGCACACAAATTTTGCTACATCACATGTCATGTGGCCAGTACCAATTTATCGTTGTTATAGCTCACATCATAATCAATAGATGGGCCTATTGCGATCCAAATTGGGTTGGAACTTGAAGATTGGGTAATGCAATCCAAATTCGTATAAGACGCCGTCTCCTGTGATCGTTCTACTACCAGCACCTCCAACAGCTATAGACGGTAGTAGAAAAAGCATTGACAACGGGGTAAGTGTTTTACCAGGTTGTCTGTTCTTGCACTTCAAATCAATAGTTACTCGCTTTAACTTTGTGAAGGATTTATGTTCATCCTGTACACGGCTGTAGTACATTGCATTGTTATAAATTTATTAATATTGTTGCATTGTGTTAAGATTTTTTCAGCGATGGAATGTATAACGATTAAGAGAGTGAGCTTCCTCCTCCAAGACCTATGTTTTCTGGTTATCCAAATATGTCCGTTATCAAGGTTTAATTACACTTCTAATTTCAATATTATACTCTTTATTTTCCCTACATTTTCTACCATTTACCTTTAGACACACTCTGATGTAACTAAACTTATGAATACAATGATACAACGAGGAATCTGATGAAAAACCACAAGGAATCACCTTTTCTCAGATGCTCCAATCACAAGAGATGCACATATGATGTTGTCTTGATATGAATCAAAGCTTTTTTTATTAAGCATTTGTGGGCTTTAGTTATTAGGTTAGTTTTTTTTTTTTTTTTTTTTTGTGGTTTTAGTTATTAAGTTAATTTTTTGTAGGTTTTAGTTATTGGGTATTTGAACATGTTTTATCAAATAAACATAATTTATTATCTCACCACTTTTTGAATCGTGGGTTTGATAGTGTTAGCAAGAATATGTTCATGAATTTTGGTCGATCTATTAGCTATATGATCTCAAACTAAGTCTTTTTATACAATGTTGGCACAAATTTAGGGGCTTTTGGCTAGGTGCATTGATTTAGAGGTAATTATATATGTAAATCACGTATTCATGTGTATCTTAAACTTATACGAAACAGTTGTTATGCCACTTTATTATTGCCCACTCATAACAATGGAACAAAACTGAAACTTTGTTGAATAAAATTATGTAATTAGTTCTTATAATTGTAAAGGAAGTTGTATCATTAGTACCGTAGGGAAAAAAAAAACACTTAAATTTGGAAAGAAAGAAACCAAATGCAAATGGATCATCAGATATCAACAAGATTCGAACAAACAGATCATGATCATCCATTAATACAAGTTACATACATACAAATACAAATGATAGAAATCTTCCATAGAACTATATCAAAATTGATCTCTCCTTCCTCTTTCAAAAAATTAAGTGTGAGGAGTTGGTTGATGCAAAGATCTTAAGATGATTACGATCGGCCATTAGAGGAGAAGAAGGATGCCACAGACTGAGCTAATCCTAACACAATCGCTATCTTCACTTGACCTCTCACCGGAATCGGACGTCCATTACCAGATGCACATCGGACGCCATTTCTGTTCTTCATCGCGGCTGATCTCCTTACTCCGGCCATATGAACTAGCTACAATCTCACGGGGGCGTGATGGAATTTGGGGAGGAGTGTTTGGGCTGTAGTTTTGTAGTGGTGGTTACTGGTTTGAGCTACATTTATATATATGAGGCTCTTTGTAAGATGCCCCTCGTTTAGAGGAAAATTACAAAAAGGGCCTAAAAACTTTTGACAGGAATATTGACCATATTGACCAGGCTTCCTTTCCTTTCACCTTTTCTTTTGCATTATAAAATTCTGTATCAGTATATCTTTTGTCTTTATGTTTTTTCAGATTTTTAGCTTTATGTTGTTCACACTTCACATCACTGAAATATTAAGAACCACGTGGTATTTAATGAAATTATAATTATATCCCTCCGCGTGGGGAATTAACAACTATTAACTCGAGTGGTATTACCTTCTTATTATTAATCAAAATCAAAATATTAAAATGAAAATAAATGTTAATTGCAAACAAGATATTTGTTTAAGAAGAATAGATTAGTATTTAGTATTTACTTACAAGAGACAAGCTTAAATGTCCTTGGATATTAACTAACACGGTCCTTATTTTGTTTGAGGTTTAAATTATTTATTTATTTATTTATTTATTTTGAACCGACAAATATATATTTAATTACTCATAAACAAACATTTAATTTCATCTATGTCCGTAATATTAACTCTTAACCTTAAAAAGAGATGATAATATCTAAAATTGTTGAGCTAGAAACCTTTTGATTGAGGTTTAAATATTCACAATGCTCATATACTTTTTTCTATCATTTTATAAAAATTTAAAGGTTTTTTTATATGAATTATGCAACTATTTATTTATTTATTTATTTTTTGACAAAATATGGAATATTTCTATATGTATATCAGTTGAAATGGATATGCATAATTCGTGTCAAATCCAACGTAGTTACATAAACAAGCATTTAACCGTGATCACGTACAATATATATTAATTAGAAAGTTTTTATGAACGATACAATTTTTTCATTTTACGAGTTTTGCCACAAATATTTTTAGTGTTTTTTTGGAAAGAGAACTTTTCGACCAACCTTCGCTTGCAAACATTTTGAATTTTGATAGATTTAGTCCGTGTAATTTTTGAATTTATAGAAAAAGGTCCCTGTGAAATTATTTTCAAAAAAATAGTCCCTATGTTTAAGATTGTTGTATAATAGCAAGTTTGGCCCTGAGTAGAAAATAAATTTCAAAAATTACACATGTAGTTTATAGAAAAGATCATCGTGTATTTTTTTTTATATAAAAATGGTCCATATGTTTAAAAGAATTACAAAACATATTCCCCTATTTCATCCTTACACTATTTTGGTATGACGCTTTTGCCACATGACTTTTGTATATTTACAAGTTTGCTTCTTACACTTTCGACTTTACGCAAGCTTAGTCCCCTTGCAAAGCAGGGGTAGTAACTTACTAGTTAAAAATTAAAACCAATATGATAAAACAAGTTCTATATTATAATCTAACATGTAAAAATTCAGCAACAATCTAACACCTAAATATCCAATGTCATAGCTTTTAAACCCATTTAATTCATCAAAATCAACAAGTTGGGGCTTAAATCTTCTTGCAAAGATGTTTGCAAACCTTAGGAACCATTCAGGTAATTTTGTTTTAAAAGATTTATCATGTGTATATAGATTTTATTGAAAATTAAAACATGTTTTCCAACTTGTATTATTTTCTTAGTAAATTACATGTTTTCTGTAAAAATTTAGCAATATGGTTGAGGAAGAAACCCAAAATATAAAAGTAAAAACAAAGGACCATAATATATTAATAAGAGGGTTAATATCATAAATGGTACCAAACTATTTTCCTTTTTTTTACAAAAAAAATATTTTTGTAATAAAATACTATCAAAAGTAAGCAACTTGAACATTTTGTTCACTGAAACAAAACATCCGAGTTAGTATATATATATATATATATATATATATATATATATATATATATATATATATATATATATATATATATATATATATATATATATATAAAAAGGAGAATTTCATATATGCCCCTCTTAAACTTCAAAATATCATATTTGCCCAACTTAATTTCTCAATAACATATTTGCCCTTCGTAAACCTTCAAAATATCATTTTTGCCCAAATCCTTTTTTATAATGTTTTTAATATTTTATAATTAGATTTTATACCTTAGAATTATTATAATAATTAAAAATATTAACCATATTATCCTTATATCTATAATAATGGAATTTGAACTTCTAAATTGTTGCTTTAAATAGTTGGAATGTCGCTCTCTTGACAAATAAAAAGATCCATTTTCAGCCCTCTATATGAAATGTATATTTTGATTGTTTAGTTTTTGTTGTTGATTATTATCATGTTATAGATGGAGGGTATTTTAGATATTATCATTGATATTTTGATGTTTAAAAAATGCATATACGATATTTTGATATTTAAGAAAAACATATACGATATTTTGATGTTTAGAAATGATATATATGATACTTTGAAATTTTATGAAGGGTAAATATGATATTTAGAAATTTTATTAAGGGTAAATAAGATATTTAGAAATTAAGTTGGGTAAATAAGATATTTTGATGTTTAAGAAATTTTATAACAATAACCTGAAATATAAAGTTTAGCAATTGTAAAAGTAATCCTCAGAAATAGAATGCCAATAAACAAAACCATCACTTGTAAACAACTAAAAGATTTACAGATACAAATCTACCATCATCTTTCTATACTTTTTCAAAAAACAAACAACAAATCTTGACATTAATCCATTAGAGAAAAAAAAAAAAAAAAAAAAAAAAAAAAAAACTGTTGAAATGATAGGGGCGATATGGTCATATTGCTGCTCGTACAGCAGTTCTAGCAGCTTCACGTCTTAACTCAGCAGCCTTCCCACTGCCTCGGAAATACATGAATACTTGCTGCACAATGACATGTATACCCTTAAGTTTCAAACCTTTTTTTTTCTTTCCGCAAGGGCAAAATAGGAAAAGCAATGAGAAATCTGACCTGGATAACCCAGATGCTGAGCAGAGATTCTAGACAGAATAAACCGAATCCAACAAAGTAGAAGATCTAAACAAAAAATGGATGTCATTAGTACAATGGAAAATAGCAATGTATTTTCATTAATTTGTTTACTACATAGCATCCTACTTTAATTCTTTTAAAGTAAAATGTTGTAATAATAATTTTAAAAATAAAAGTATGTTGCTATTTCTTGCATCAAGGAACTTACCCCAACCAAAGCATGGTCTCCAACAAGATCAACAGCTGGTAGGATACCACTGTTTTTAAAAGGGAAAAAAAATTATAAATGAAGATTACAAAAGGGTATATTAGTAATATTGTTATTATTATGTTAAAAATAGGAAGATAAGGAGATTACGCGAGAGATTTTCCTTTGAAGACAACTGGAGGAGCAACAGCGGCAAAGATGACAAAAGCTATGTGAATCTGGAGAAAGAAACATGAAGAAGTTGATGGAAAAACGTAAAAAGACCATAATGCCCCTGAAGAAAAAACTAAAATGACTTACCAAGTAAAATAGGAAAAACCAAGTGAACTTGAACGCACTTTCGCTCCTGCAAAAGAGAAGGTGTGATTTGTTAAGAAATAGTAAATGATTGTTTCTTTAAGTTCATTAAAAAAAAACATGAAAATGAGATTTTTTTTTTTTTCACATTGAGTTGTGACTTTTTACGAATATGCCCTTATTTGATAAAGAAGATTAAGAGAGAGAATTGACCTAAAAGCACGATAAAGTGGACGATACCACAACACATAGGCGCCCGGGACCCCTGATATGAAGTAGATAAGAGCAAGAAACCAAATCGTTGGATCTGAAATAAAAAGAAAATAAAAATTAGAATTACAATAAATCTCTAACAAATGTTTTAGTAGTAAAGATATTAAAAATAAAAATTAGAATAATAATAAATTAACACGAACCTTCTCCTTTGATCCATGCTGTTGTTGTAGCCACAATGTTCCAAACAAGGCAAAGAACTAATCCTGATTGCCATAAATTATTTTAGATTATTAGTCACTGCAATTTTAGTAATTTTCATAACAAAAAATATTATTAAAAGTTAAGTTATAATTAAGGGTTAATCTCATAAAAGACCTTATATTTTGTGTTTTTACAGGATTAAACCTCATCTTTATTTTTTTCATGAAAAGGACTATATATTTTATCATTTTTTTCCGAATAAACCCTCAACTTTGTCCATTTTTCTGAAAAAACCCTCAACCGTCTAAATGTTTACAAATAACTAATTTACAATTTTACATATTATAATTGTTATGTTTTAATAGAATAGTATAATAATAATAATAATAATAATAATAATAATAATAATAAAAAGAATATGTTGTTTCTGATTATGTTAAAGATTGAAAATATGATTTTTGATGTGATTTTCTTTTTTACTTATTGCAATTCAATAAAAAGTTAATAACAATATATATATATATATATATATATATATATATATATATATATATATATATGTATATATGTGCGTGTGTGTGTGTGTTTCTTTTTGGTTTAATGCAGAAAGAACGATTTAATAAATATCCCCTTATTTATTTATATATTTTTTCTTCCATTTCCTCAAGTGTACAATCATCTTCTGAATAAAAAAATAATTTTTCCAAAAAGTATGAGCAAATAAATAAAAACATACCCAAGTATGTTGTGAATGCAACATATTGTAATTTCTGTAGATGAATTGGTATCTCATTTGCTATATCATGATGAATAATTGGGAAAAAAGGTGGCCAATTCTTCTCCTCAAGAACAATACCAGCTGAAACAACAATATTACTCAAATGACTATTCTACCCTTAATTTAAATAACTACTTGTTGAAAAGGTAGCATAATTACTCCTTTTGTAGTGATTTAACCATTATACTTTTTTTTGACAGTGTAAAGAAACATTTTTCCCAAAATACAAAAAACCACAACCTTCATAATTTCACCATTT